ATCTATGTACTCTGTCTTGTATCTGTACCTACTGGAAAGATTACTTTCGTCAATGTGATCAATAATTACTTTCTAAGATCTAACGATAATTTAACTAATATACCTGTGAGAACTGAACGATTTAAAAAATCTTTCTTTCCATCGGCAATAACTGCCTGGAATGATCTTGATCCAGATTTACGAAATATAGAGACGCTATCTTCCTTTAAAGTTACCTTATGTAATATGTATTGCGGACAAAAATATAACGTAAAATACAATGCATCACTAAGTAGATATAGCTCAATACTCCATACCAGGCTCAGGCTTGGTCACTGTGCGCTTAATTTTCACCTATATAGAATTAATTGTGCAAATTCCCCTTTTTGTGTATGTCGATGGGGTGAAATGGAAACTGTCAAACATTACTTTTTATATTGTTCTCGATTTGCTGCCCAACGTGAACAATTGCTCTCAGTTCCTGCGCGGCTGCTCCATCCTATGTGGATGAATTTATCAGAGAATCGGAAAATTGAAATACTTTTGCATGGTTCGGAAAATCTTGGACATGAAGATAATGTAAAATTAATGCAAAATGTCCAATTATTTATTTTAAATACAAAACGGTTTCAGGCGGAGTAACTTTTTTCTTTTTTTTTTATTGGAACTTGTTTTGTAAAACATTGGTCTGTAAAACATTGGTGTGGTAAATTCTTCCATATAAATTTCTTATAATAATATGTTTCATGGAAAGCTTGAGAATGAATACCAGAAGTTCTTCCACACTATGATTATTCGATTTGTTTTGATGTAATCTTTTTTTCTATGTAATCCTCTTTGTCTTGATGTGAGTAACCTAAAGTTTGTAAATAATCCGACATAATCTCCCTTGATGAGCTATGCTCTTGGAGAAAATGTCTGTAATAAAATATGTTTAAATAAAAAAAAAAAAAAATGCTATCACGATAACTGCAGATTGCTTCGTATTTCTTTGCAAGATTGACTGGATCCAGCGTTTTGGATTCAGCAATTAACTTTTCCAATTCTTTCAGAGATGTGATGACCTTGTTAGTTTTCGTCTCTATGGCAGAGAATATCTCCTGTTCTGAATCAACAAGTGACATAAGTTCTTCGTCAAGTTCACATTTTTGGTGCAATAGTAGTAACCACTTCAACCAGGAGAGTTCATATTCTCTGAATGGGCTCTCTTTAGGTGCCCTACTTGCAGCTGCTATATCGTCCTCTGTAGTTGTGTCAACAAAATAATGAGACGCATCTCTTAGTTTAAGGCATAAGATTCTAAGAGGTACTCATTTGAATGCATGCATTACTTCAGGCTCGAAATTATTAGGATACTGTTGATGTAGCCCATCAAATTTGATGCCCAAACTGAGCCACTGCTTCCTACCAACTTCTTGGGTCTCAACATAACAAAGCTCTGATCTTTATCTTTCACCAGGGTCTTTTTTTCTAAGAAGTCAGAAATACAGAAAATTAAAGTACAGATACCAGATTGTTTTGCATAGAACTTGTAAACCATATATTTATATGAGAAATGAAATTGTTGGGATAAATAAAAACCAAGAAACTTAAAAATATTTTTATATCATCAACATTCTCTTCCTGCCAAGTCACCAGTCTAACTGCACTTGGAGTAACATGTGCATCTGGATTTCCAAAGTCATGTTGTGGTAGCTTCTTGGCTGCATTTAAATCTGTGACTTGGAGAATTCCTTGTGACTTGGTATTTCTGAATCCAACTAAAATTGAAAAGTAAAAATGAATTTCATTGTGAATGTGCAAAAACCCATTATATTCTACAGTCACAAATTTCATTATGTTCTCTACAAACAAATACAGGTGATTCCTCTAAGATATTGTGGTTTTAATGCAAAACAGTTCAAATACACAGAACCCTCAGGCAACGATTGATGACAGACATTTTTAATATTGTACTTGTTGAGAAATTTAAAATGTTACATTTCATGCCAACTAATGCAAGACTTGTCCTTTAATTGTGAGATATATTTATACTTGGTCTTGGGTATAATACAGAATTGACACCAAGTATCATTTAAAAACATACCATCTGTGTCTGGTCTAACATAAACTTTGTCATCGACATCTCCAGTGATTGCTTTGATCTGCCTTTTCACCATAGAACTTAAGTCATCCACCACTCGCCACAGGGCATAAAATTTAATGAGTCATACGAATTTCATGAGGGTTTACCATTTGACTAGGCACCACTCGAAAACATTTGTGGCGTCGTAAAATTTAACGAGTCGTACAAATTTCATGAGATTTTACCATTTGACCAGGTGCACAGGACTTAGTCATCCACCACTGGTACATTCATTGTGAGTTCACACGGGTCATAACATTTCACGAATTTAACAAGTTGTACAGATATTGTGGGTTAGTTTAACATCTTATTTTAAGACTTGTTGACCTACGCCACCTTTGTTGAAATAATTTTTTCACAATTTGTATAGATTTTGGACGTATACAGGCACTTCTTAATTTTATATCATTATAATTGAATGATATGTAACTTAAATTATTAATAGTAATAATATACAAATAAAAAACACAACTTGTGAATCACGAGTTACAAATTTCACGAGTTGTTAAGTGCGACAGTATTGGACAACCATCGAATATGACATGTATTATGGACATTTCAATTTTGACGACGTTATCTGGGGTGGGTGGGTGAAATAATAACGTTGGTTCAATGTTATTTGTGGCAACATGAATATGGATGTGGCCCTTATTTATACTGTGCTATTGATGATTTGGTAATGTTGGACCTGCACAACATATTCTCTATGACCATGTCATATTCTCTATGACTATGTCATCTGTGAAATTTTGCTCATTACTTTGGTTATCAATGGCTATGCTCTTCATTAAAATTATTAATGTATAATGGATTGATGGTTATATGTCCCTGAAGAATATTGGAAACTGTTACTAGTTCTGTTGAAACATTCTCTATCCTAAAAGAAATATTTTTCAACCCAGAATACAATACTGACATAAAACACAGTGGAAATTTGATGGAACACCAGATACTATATATCACATTATTTCACAATGATACTTATCCCAAGCCTTCTGGCAACCAGATGTGCAAGTGTGTACTATTTATACATTGAAGTAGAACTGTATATGATAATATAATTACAAATGTAGACAAAACCAAGTATAATTAAAGTACTGGAGATATATATCTTAAATTTCTGATTTGTATGTACAGTATTATGTTATTCTTTGCCAAAATGCCAAGGTTATAATAAAGTGCTATACCATGCCTCATCATGCAACTTCCTACATCGTGCACCCCAAGCAATTCTGTTGCTGCCCTTCCCCTTTAGCGACGGAGCGAATGCCCTGAGCAGGCGTCTTGTTTTAATGTAAAATTGAAAACGAAGCTCTACGTAAAACGTTCTTAAATGTGAATTGAAATTAACTGCTTTTTGCCGATTGCGATAACTTGAGCTCAACTTATTACTCGCACTTTGAAATGAAATAAATTTAATTCGTACAGAATGTTAATGAAAATAATTTGCTTTCCTTTTTATCATGAACGTCTACAAAAGTTTATTTAGCTATGAAACTTTCACATACAATCCATAGGAAAGACTTGAACAACAAGAACAAAGTCTATAATATTAATACAAAGTTATACATAAACAATTGAAAGAAACTTGGATTTCTCATACTAAATCAATTCTTATAAATGTTTACATTTAAAAATTGAAATGTTTACAATTAAAAATTTGTTATGTGAAATGATTTTCCAAGCTTTCTTACATGTAATTTTTATATATTCCCCTTCTTCACTCCTGGCAAACAGTCATATTTTGAGATCAGTGAGATGACCACCCATATACACTCATGAACCGCAGCTGTGATAATTGATGAACTTTAGACTTGGTTAGTGTGTTCCTTTCCCTGGGTATAAATAGCCGGGGGGATTAGTACCCTTGCACTGGGCTTACGCCCGGTACGGCACTCCGCGCCATTGGCTTGGGGAAAAGCGTTGAATACTGTTTAGTCAAAATATTGTGGAATGAAACGTATGGGTTTCATTCTTGATTACAGGATGACTTACCAAGAATCAAACTTTACTTTTCGATCAAATCTATTTTGCAAAGCTGCGCTGGTGTCAAACCATCTAGATCACGCTAATTTTCTTTGTTATTTTCACTCATTATATATTTGCCTTCGTGAACAAGAGGTTCATCTTCATATGGCCGAAACTGGCAGCTATAAACCTCGTCATTTGAATCAGTATTATCCGAGAAAGAACAGGATGTATTGTCGCTTGAAGACATATTTACATATACACAATATATAAAAACATGCGGAATGCACAATTGGACATCCGTCAAACCAAGGTGTCTTTGGAAATTCGCTACAAAGATTGATTTCCGAACGCTGAAGATAGTCCAGTGGGTTTCGTGGAATTTGTGTGTCAATATGTGTGAATGCTTGCGTGTAAACAATGACAGTGAAGGAATTGATTAGGAATTTCACCAAACAGTCGGATTTTCTATCTTTAAAATTGAATGAAACTGGGTTATCTGGAGAACTTTTTAGCCTTCTTACAGAATGCAAGTAATTTCTTGGAGGAAATAAGGTAATTAGTCAAACACGAATGGATGTGGGTTTTTTTATCGTACTGTATGCATACATAAATGTACTATGATATAAAATTATTTATAATTTTGTATATTTAATACTGGAAACACATGATTAGAATAATAAAACATGTATACGTTCTAAATAACCTGTGAAGTGGTTGGCTTCCTGGGTAACATTTAAAATGACTACATTAAAACTTTCGACTTATGTCGAATTGTCGAAACAGTATTAATTAATTTCTTATTTTTATCATGACTTAATTAAATGTTGTTTCTATATGTCACAATATATAATATATATATATACATATATATATATGGTCATAAAGTTTATATGCTCATAAAGTTAAAGTTTCAAATTTAATAATTATATTATTACTTTACCCTTACGAAAATGTTCTATAGAATCCTATAGAATATGGTATAGAATATTCTATATCCTATAGAATATTCTATAGAACTTGTGATCCTATAGAATATTCTATTGCCATATTCTATAGAACTTCCAGATCCTATAGAATATTCTATTGCACATTCATATGAAACATCCAATAGCATATTCTATAGAATATTTTCTATAATGAAATAGTATAGGATATTCTATGGAGTATATCATAGAATGTGATAAACCTATTGACTTAAGCCTAGTTATTATTTATACTTTATAACAATATTATTGTGTCCCAAAAATTTACATGAAGAGAAAAGATCATGATTGATTTTAGAAAAATACTTCTTTCAAGACAATTTGTTCTTGAAACAAAAAATATTTTCTAATAATAACTTAACTGATTAACTTAAGATTCTTTAAATAAGATGTTTTAATATTTTCTTATATAATATTAGTCTTAATATAAGATAATTAGATATGATTTTCTTTAGAGTTTAGAAGCAATAGTTCGCGCATTGACTGGAAGCCTGGTGCCTAATTTACGTGCAAGGGCGCGAAGCTTCATGGGATAGCGTCGTTTTAAAATTGAAATTTCAAAATACTCTTACATGTGGATTTCAAGGGAAATTTTCCCTTATATTTTTAACCCAAACGATGGAAAAAGCATTGGAAAGTTCTTAAAATGTTATTCAAATCTCACAGGTAAGAACAGTTTTATGTTTGATGCTATTTAAGCACTTTAACTCCGAAATAATGTAGTGAATATGATTGTTTATACTTGGCCATATGTCATAAATTCCGGAGAATGTTTGAATTTGCCGCGTCGATTTGCATAAGAAAACATACGAAATTTCGATTTCTAGCAAGGGAAGAATAAATAAAATATAAATTCGAACCATTATTGTGAATTCTATACAAAATTACCCACTATTGTAACAATTTAGCAATATTTGTCTTTGGCATAATTTGGCACTTTGATAGATGCATAGACCTTTGTCAAAGTATATGAAATAATATAATAATTAAACATATCAAAGATATATATGTTAATAACATTTTAGTACTTCAATAAGGATTGGAATTACAGAAGAATTACAGCATTTAATGTGATATTTTCAGTGTATTGATCTTCAATAACCCATTAAGTTGCAATGCATGTGCCCAAAATGCACCCAACTAATCTACTATTGCATTACTAGTCTGTCCAATGCCAGACAATTTTACTCCATCTTGCAATTAGCTATTAAATTCTCTTTAATGGTCAATGAGCTTAATTTAGTTGTATACATGTATAGAATGATATATCTGTAAAGCTTCATCGGCACTAGCCGATTGAGATAAAGCCTTTATAATATTTTGTATTAAATATTGCAGCTGGGTTATAGCCCGGCCCCAAATATTGTTCTCAACAGCTGGATATTTATTTATTTATTTAACTTTGCCAAACCTTTAACAGTATATTTACAACAACATATAATATGTTTTCTATTGGCAGGGTGTATGCTACAGTTTTCATTAACCCATTGGGCCACAATGTGCCACAGCTAATAATGGGTTAAATTAACCAAAAAATCTGACAATGTGCCCCAGTGTGCCCTATTTTTTTTACTTGTCTATCTCTGGGTGATTTTACTCATCAATGGGGAGGCTCTGCAGCTTGATGGGTTAACTATAGTGCTTTATATGAGGAAAATGACATACTGGCCCAGCTAATTGTGGTCTAGCCAGCGTGGCCGGCTCTTTTATAAGTAGAGCCTGCCCGAAAGCCCTAGTCAAATTGATGACTCTCGGCAGCCAGCCGCCGAGAATTGTGATTGGCTGAATTTACGTTGACAACAGTTTGATTGACATGTTACGCTAATTTATTCAATTATTTAAAAATAAATACAGTAAAAACAACCGGCATCGTTATATTAAAGTTGTAAACCTCATGTTGGCTAAAATATAAAATGCAAAAGACAAAGTGTAAAATGTCAATATAATAACATATACCAGTATCTAAACAGAATACGGCAAGCCATACTGCTATTATATGTCGTATGATTTTACCGTATGGTCACTATACTATAGTATAGAGTATAAAACCTTGGCTGTCCTTGCCTTGTTTATATTTTGCTGGCTGGCAAATTACAATTATATAAAATAATACATTCCCCATTGTGTAATAATACGAAGCTCTCTTTGGAGCTTTTAAAATACATTTGCCTGCCAACATGTATAACACAGTCCTGAAGGGGTCTATTAAACTTTTCCTAAGTCATTATATTTAATACTGCAATATTTATAACTGTAATACAGCCATACAGGTGCAAAGCATAATATAATTTTGAACGGTCTTCGTCTACTACTAATTTCCAGACAAAGTCGAAGGGCCTTCGTTCGAAATGCTGACATTTTGCTTGTATTTCCAGGCAGTTGAATCGCTATCCATCTATTGTAAAAAGTTTATTGAAAGCATGTAGCGCAGGCTATAGTAAATATGCAACAATTAAAATTTTAAGTCATCAATTTATACAAAACTATTTCGAGTGGGCGGTGTTATATGGAATATTAACTAAGTGGGCGGCATCAATTTGACTAGGGCTTTCGGGCAGGCTCTACTTATAAAAGAGCCGGCCACGCTGGCTAATTGTGGTCCCCAAGCCAGACAAATCAGTTTGGATCTTCTAAAGTGTAAACACCCCTAAACAGGGCCGTGCTACTGTAACTGATATACATGTCTTTAATTGAGTTAAAGTTTTAATTAAAAGTAAATTTTATTTAAATGGTTAGCTAGTAGACACATAGGCATGCAGATGGCCTGATTAACCCATTAACGTCCAAGCCTCTTTCCTTGACAAGTAAAATCATTTGGTGTATGTTATACAATACAGAGTAAATACTAAAGTGGGGCATATGGGGGTGCATTGCACATTAAAGGGTTAACCCATTGAGCAAAACTGATCTCCCCTTGAAGAGTAAAGTTGTCTGGTCATCCTGGTGTTACACAGAGTAAAATAATAGGATGCAATGAAACTTAATGGGTAAAATTTACTCAATTTTCATTTTTAGTAATGCCATGTCTGACTTGCAAGAGCCAGTAAGGCTCTTGAAAAATGGGCAGTGTTCTTGAAGACCATGCATCAATGATGACCACAAGGATTAACAACATTGTGACAAGTAGAAAAGGCAAAACAGAAAGCATCTGCACAGAAAAGTAACATTAACACTTATTGTAATAAAAATATTCACTAAATAGAGTTATCCTACAACAGTTTTGACTAGTTCAAGGTTTATTATTTTAATTCTTGAATAGTTATTTTGGTTTGTGAACAATGCCAAATTGGTTCTGTTGGCAGCACTTTTGATCCAATCCTGGATATTTACATCTGTTCATACTTAATATGGAAATCCAGGCAGACCGAAATCTTTGCAAAGTTTATATAAGTGATATTCTCCACATAAATTTATTATAATTGTTGCCAACTTGCGAGTTGCCAACTTGCTTGGGCCAGTTGTATAAAAGTCTTACAATGGCTATCTTTTAAATACCCATTTCCTAGTTGAATGATAGCTATAAACACATAATTCTGATTGCTTAACTAGCTGTTCCACTAACTATTAGTTATTAAACTACTTTTTTAATACAACAGTAATTGTGTTTTCTTCAATTTAATATTCCATAGAATGTGCACCAAAATCGTTTAGAATATGTTATAGAATATTCAACAGACGTCTATAGAATCTTCTATAGAATTCTGTTGAATATTCTATTGGATGTTCCATCGAATATCCCATAGAATATGTTCCAAAATCGTTTAGAATATGCTATAGAATATTCAACAGACGTCTATAGAATCTTCTATAGAATTCAGTTGAATATTCTATTGGATGTTCCATAGAATATCCCATAGAATATGTTCCAAAATCGTTTAGAATATGCTATAGAATATTCTATAGAATTCAGTTGAATATTCTATTGAATGTTCCATAGAATATCCCATAGAACATCTCATAGAATGTGTTCCAAAATCGTTTAGAATATGCCATAGAATATCCTATAGAATATTTCAATGTAATATTCTATAGAATATTTTTGTAAGGGTATGCTAATGACTTGTCACAGGACCCTGCAGATATTAAGTCATGATAAAAATAAGAAATTAATTAATACTGTTTTGACAATTTGACACAAGTCAAAAGTTTTAATGTAATCATTTTAAATGTTACCCATGAAGCCAACCACTTCACAGGTTATTTAGAACATATATGTGTTTTATTATTCTAATCATGTGTCTATACAGAAGCATAAATAATTTTATATCATAGTACATTTTTATGTATGTATACAGTATGGTAAAAAACCCACGTCCATTCACGTTTTACTTACCTTATTTCCTCCAAGAAATTACTTGCATTCTGTAAGAAGGCTAAAAAGTTCTTGAGATAACCAGTTTCATTAAATTTTAAAGATAGAAAATCAGACTGTTTGGTGAAATTCCTAATCAATTCCTTCACTCTCATTGTTTACATGCAAGCATTCACATATATATATATATATTTTAAGGAAAATACAATGTTTAGATGATAAAAAAAGTATGTTAAATATATATATATATATATATATATAAAATGTTTCTGGTCTGACAACTGAAGATTTAACCATTCATTTTGTTTTTCCACTAACGTTTTCACTTTATTCAAAGTTCTTCAGGTGCATATTACATATGAATGGTTTAGTGGTTTAGTACCGGTATTTATATCTTACATGCGTTTTGTTATTACAATAATGATGCTATTCTATATTCTTATGTTAGTGTTACCGCTAATTACTTTTCTAATGGATTTGTCGGTGTTCTCTGTGGTGATGCCGACAGTTCTATTCGCCAACCCGAAACAAACGTAAAAAATGCACCAACGCGGAAAAATGGAACAAGCTTCCAACAGATGAACACTGGGTTGCAAAGCAGAAAAATGCAGAATAGAGAGGAAGTACAACAGAGACACACCAGACCAGAAAATCAACAGCGAGGGCGCTCGTATCAACAAGACAGGCCACGTAAATTCTCAAGAATCCGAGACAAACTCAACGCGAGAAAACCAACGTATGCAGAAGCCGCCCGAAGTCCATACAATTGTCGAAGTGAACGCAAGCGACAAGCAACCACTACCATTGATTACAACCAGAGACAACCGAAACATTTTTTGGGATCAACCCACAGAGGCAATTATCCACCAACGAACAATCGTCAGTTAGTGCGAAATCACCAACAAAACCAAAGACACGAACAATGAAAGGAAGATTGACCCTAAGATTATCAACCCATCATCGTGTGAACTTTCGATCGATGAAATATCATTACTGAAGAAAGGGTTAAAATTTACACCAGAAAGGGTTAAAATTACGTTTGATGGAGTATTACAATGATAACCAGCAAAAAATGTCGGACAACTCTATTGTGAAAAACAAGTCAAATTTTGTACCTCCAAAACCACAAGATAAATATCTGGACACGTTCCTTAATGCACTATCCGACTATCCTGAAAATACACCAACAACAAACCACAAAAACAATTTAAGTAAAGGTGAAAGAACGGCACTTGAAAAACTTATAAACGATAACAACATTATTGTAAAAGAAGCAGATAAAGGTGGCGCAACAGTAATAATGGATAAAAGATACTATAAAGATAAAATGGATGAACTATTATCCGACACTGAAAATTATGCGCTATTAGAAAACGGTAATCAGGATGAGACGGTCATGAAGAAAATCAAAAAACATTTGGAAAAATTTAAACAGGAAACAACCAAAACTGAAAAGGAATATATACACAAATTTACATCAAAGACCTCCAATTTCTACGGACTTCCGAAGATCCATAAATGTGAACTGATTACTAGAGCAATAACGGAACCGAAAAGAGAATACGTTAAACTTCCTGCACCAAATAACTTGAAATTCCGACCAATTGTAGCTGGACCTCAATCCCCAACGCACCGCCTAAGCAACTTTTTGGATATAGTTCTCAAACCACTTTGCCAACATGTGCCCAGTTTCATCAGAGTTGACATTGATTTTCTGAATCACTTGCCAGAAGAAATCCAAGAAGACACATTACTCGTTTCATTTGATGTTGTAAGCCTTTATACTAGTATTCCGCACGACCTTCGCCTAACTGCCATGGAATACTGGTTAGACAACTACATGAACAGTTTACCATGGACATTCTCAAAAGGCTTTATATTGGAATCCATCTCAATTATTTTAAAAGAAAATACATTTAATTTTGACGACAAACATTACCATCAGCTGCAAGGGACGGCAATGGGAACAAAAATGGTGCTGACCTACGCTGCATTAGTCATGGGATACCTGGAAACCCAATTATACGAAAAATATGGGGAAACGTTTGGAAACGAAGATTTGGAAGAACTGATAAGGACTTTTAAAAGATTTTTAGACGATTGTTTCTTACTTTGGAAGCGACCAATAGAAGAACTACATATTTTTCACGGATTATTGAATAACCTCCATGATAAGATTAAATTTACCATGGAAAAAGACGAGAAAGAACTTCCATTTCTGGATGTACTAGTTTACAAAGAGGATAAAAAGCTACACACAGATATATTTTATAAACCGACGGACACGCACCAATATCTAAACTTTTTAATTCCTGCCATCCAAATCATACTAAACGCAATATCCCGTATTCGCTGGCTAGAAGGATCTGTACCATTGTATCGAAATCTGAAATATGGGACAAAAGACTGGAAGAACTTGAAAATTTTCTCACGGCACAGAACTACCCAGTGAAACTAATCAAACATAGTATTAATCAAGCGAAGTCATTTACAATTACAGAACGTCGTCAAACCAAAACCCGTTCTAATGAAAACTCGAATGTCTTGCCACTGGTGATAACATATAACCCCCGAAACCCACAGATCGTCCAAAAAATAAAGAATGATTTACAGTTCCTGAACAACTCACTTAAAATGAAACCAATATTAGAGAAAACATCCCTTATAGTAAGCAGACATCAACCGAAAAACCTGAAGAAATACCTAACTCGGGCAGAATTTTCATCAAATTGTTCAACTGAAAACCGTGTATTGAAATGCAACGAACCATGATGTGGGACATGTGACATTTTAATCACAGGAAACAAAATAACTTTAAAAAACGGAAAAAATTGGGAAATCAAATCAGACATGACGTGCAAAGCGAAAAACGTAATATACATAATAATTTGCACAAAATGTCAAGAATTCTATATCGGTCAGACAGAAAATTTAAGGAACAGAGTTACACTGCACAAGGAACACGTCAGACACAAGAAGTATAGACAATTACAAGTCAGCGAACATTTAGCTGAATGTAATGATGGAAACTTTATCATAATGCCAATATACAAGTGCGAGAATACAACGAAGCTGTTCAGAGAATCCAAAGAGCATGAAATCATAAAAATTCTTGAACCACATCTAAACTCTAATACGTAAACAACAATTAGCATTCTAACAATGAATAGAACTGTCGGCATCACCACAGATAAAATTACTTGCAGCTAGCTTGCAAGTTGGTTTTTACCATAAGTGGAGAAGAGAAGTCTGTTTTGTTCACATAGCCAATGTAAAAGTCTATTTTATTTTTACTTTATATTTAAGTGACTGTGTAATTTATCATATCTCATGCATGCATACATCCGTATAATTCTTTGTTAGGATCACGAAAACCCTGAAGTTTGGTGCTCCAAAAACGTTGGAAAGATCATTCTGGTGGAAATGGAGGCAACAAAGCTGAATGAAGGAGTGCTGGCACTGCTGGCAAGCTTTTATCTTTTATATTTTGATTACCCACGCTTTCTGGAGATTGGATTAATTGTTCTCCAGCATTATGTACTCAAAAACAGTAATGTGCCTCAAGATATTGCTGGTTCATTTCAGTCAGCACTAACAAGTTTCAGAAAATTCAAGGCTGATTTAGAGTAGAACATTGAAGTTGACTGCATGTTTATATGTACTGTCTATATTCTGTCCATTAATTGTTTGATATATTGCATAGCGTAGACCAGCAAGTAACTTGTGCTCTCCGCATGCATCCAGGGCTCAAAATAACATCCGGTCAACGGTCAATGACTGGCTAAAAATTCCTGTTGACAGGTCACTTTTTATCCTCGCCGGTCATTTTGACCATCCACATTTTTTTCTTATGCTAGAAAGTGCCATGATAGTGACGTTGATAAGGCTGCCTAGACGTCTTCAGTGTTTAAAATGTGAAACAAGAAAAGGAATGTCGTTTGCGACCTTGTGTTATTAGTATAGTGCTTCAGTGACCGGTCAAAAGCAGAGTTTGACCAAGCTAAAATCAAGTTGACCGGAGACCTATCGGTCGTTATTTTGAGCCCTGTCCCAGCATCCAAACTGCACTGGGAGATAATTGGGGCAAGCCACACAGTTTGATGGCTCAACGAGCTGAAGCACAATGCATTATGGTGCATTGTACATATGTCCACAGAACGTTTCCTGCAGTGATTTAAATGCTACCGGCCTTTCGCCTCGCACTGGTTTTTAAAAATGTGGGAAAGTGATTTTAAATCAATAACATTCTTTGCTGGTAATGGTGTATGTTTCGCAAAAGAGTTCTTAATAGGCGGGGACAGCCATGGTGAGGCCTACGTTTGCTTGGGAAAGATGGGGAAGAACGTGCCGTGAAACATGTGTTAAAATCATTTTGTAAGGAATTATTGGAAAATGAAAAAAAAAATTTTGACTTCTCAGAATGTAATCCAGTCGCGATGATTTGCACCTTATTGGTTCTATGATGATTATACCAGCAATGACTTCAATTATTTTGAGAACTTTCAGTCCTGCAATGATTTACAGTAAATTTTACCAGTGGTATTTTACCAATTATAATTTCGCCAGCTGACAATTTTCCATGTGATGAAATATATTCTTCATGCCAAATAACAAATGGAAATTGGAATGGTCAGTATTATTAAGCCCATCACAATTTTATTTTGCTTGATTTCTGAGTGAGTTGCAGTTCAAATTCTGATGCAAAGCCAGATTTGATTTGGGCTGAGTAATGCATGTACAGCAGTATTTCTGTTGCTGTTTCTAATTGGGGAAATTGTGGTGACTACACCAATCACTGTGGCGGTGGAAGGTTCCTCTATCTCTGAAACATCCCAAGTATCAATTTTCCGTTTTTTCCCTCTTGGTTCTTGAAATTGTACTGCCATTTGAGATTTAATTAATTTGCCATTTTATACTACAGTCCACAGAGATACTCACAGTTTGTAGAACTATATATTAGTCAAAGACTTAAAATACAATTTTTGTAATGAACGTTGTTATTGGACAACTTTTGGAAAATTTTGAAATCTAGAGTCTCTGAAATGCGATTTCAAGCGTTTTGAGGGTGAGATTTTGCAGAATTCCAAAGATTATAAAGTACATCAAGCACATGATTTTTATGATCTCACAAACGTGCCTTCTCCCAGACATTTCAGTCTTCGGAATTAGATTTACTAACAGAGGGTCATATTACAAAACACAATGTGTAACTTTGAGTTTGGCTAAACTGATTTGTAATTTTATTTAATTTGCCCAAAATAGCCTAACTTACATCAATAGATTGTATAATAAAGTTTTTTCAGTGACAGTTCGAAACTTAAAACAAAACAAATTATGAATATAGTACTATTTACAGTAATAACACAAGAAATTAACTAAAAAAGTTGATTCTTTTCAGTGTTTTTCGATCAAGTTATGAATCACAACATTAGCCGCATGTGACATTGGTCCTTAGCGAGCCAGATATGAATCTGCGATGAAATACAGCCCGAAAGGAAGTGAGAAATATCGAGAAATATGTCGAACGAGAAAGGTGATCACGAACCTGATCAGACCGTAAATGGCAACAAAGAAACGCATATGGAGGGAAGTAATGCAGTGCAGGAAGAGAAAGAACTCTCTGCTAATGTATGATCACAAATTCAGAGCATAAAAGCCGAAAGATCCCAAGAAAAGTCCAGTGTAACAGGACTGATTACAAGGTTGACAAAGCTTATTCATGACCGGAGGGAACAAACCCAAATATGTGAAATCTTATGGAAAATCGGAAGCCAAATCAAAGGGGCAAACAGTTGTAATCGAAAACTTTACACACTGGTTTCTAGTAATGAATTTGACTCTGTAGTGAAGTGGTTCATCGAAGTAGCTGAAAAGGCTGATGCAATTGCAAAGGCATTGACACATCTTGAGGAGCATGAAGATGAACCCCCTCTATCTTGGGATCGATAGCCCTAAGGCCTCAGTCGGTGTTGTCGTCAGCTTCGAATAAATCAGCCCAAACTTGAAGAAAGGCACATATTGCAAAACTAAGAAAGGCACATATTGCAAAACTAAAGGCCAAACATATCAAAGAAGAGGGCCGACAGACTTAAACAACTTGAACTTTTTAATCCACATACTGTAGTTGTTAAATGAGTTGTATTCATATATAACTGGAGTGGTATTTTCAGAAGTAGCTAATACACTAGATGAAATCAATTATAACAACCGCATAGAGGATTCGTGTTAATATCTGCTAGACTGCTGTCTGCCTGTCTTTGACCATCATATCAGGCTGCTGGAGTGCCACCTGTACTTGTATATTGGAAATTTGCGTGGCTTGCATGTTGCAAACATCACTAGTTCACTATCTACAGCTTATTATTCAATTATGTAATTTTTTCTCATTTTCTTCCTTTCTGTTTTTCCTTTCTTTCTCTTTATACTTTTTTTACTTTTGAGATTTTTAAGTTTTACCCTCCATTTTTTTCTGCCAACCTCAAAAATTTTCTGGGACCAATGGTCCCGCAGTCCGCTATATTATGCATCCCTGGCGAACAGCTCACTTTTTCAAGTCGAAATATTTTGAAAACTAAGCAAGATATAAACAATCTGTAATAGAGTTTAATTTATAGTTTTAAGAGTTCTTTCAAGTGAACTAAATTAAATTTTTATTGCCAAAGTCCTTTAACTGGTGTTGATAAAACAATGAGTGACATAAAGAAATGTTACGATGCCATTGTGTCCTTCGTTCATTTAAAAGAACTACTCTTGCCACGTACAACTCAGTCAACGGATGACATTGTAAGAGCTGTTAAAAAGGCTTATGCGGTTAAGAAATTCAAGATACTCCGGCGTGTGAAAACCGATCAGAATGTAACTTTTGCTGTTGAGGTTTACCATAGACTGTTGAAAAGGCGTTATTGCACAGCTCTGTGTTCATTAATTCCCCGCTATGTCGGAGGGCCGTAGTGGCATAGCAGCAGCTCCATTGCAAAATATATCTAGTAGGAAAAACATCTTTTAAAAACCGTCATAATCTACACATTTCCCTCGAGTATGTCTTGACAATACTATTTTACCAGCTAGTGCATTACTGAAATAGATATCCTATACTTGTTGACTTAAAAAGTTATTAAAATTAACAACTTGTTACTTTATCAACTTGAAGGAGGCTTCCTTTTAATACAACTTGTTGTTTTGCTTTGTTGTACAATGAACATGAAAAACTAACTTTTAACATGTTGTTGAAGTACACATGCGCCTGGTAATTAAAAATTCAATTCAATTGTGTTTACGCACTCTTGTGTTCAGCATGGTGCTTACAGCATTCAAATTATACCAATAGGAAAATTTCTATAGGGGGTACATTTTTTTGGGACACCCTATATATACCGGGCTGCATGGGTCACTTCCATATCAGGGGCTGATTACATGGACAGTTTTCAGCCTGCGCTGAGTTTCAGCCCGGCTGAAACTTCAGCCTGGCATAGGATAAAATCCTATTAAGGAAGTTTTCTTGGTTTCGGTTTAGGTGGTGACGGTTTACTTTCGTTTTCATTTTTGTAGGCGGCTTTCATTTTCGTAGGCGGCTTTCATTTGTTGGATATTTTTTCCGCGACTAGGGTTATAGGTAGCCGTATCATTCGATGTAACTTCATTCGTTGTGGCTTTGCTCTGGAGATTTTGCTGATTTGAAGATTGATCCGTTTCGAGTATTTCAATATTTTCGGTGGGTATAATAGACATTATATTATCAAGTGGTACTACCGGGGTGGCGGCGGTGGTGTTATTGGTGTTTGGTTCGTCACGACCAAATGTTTCTATTTGTTGTTCGGTCGCTTTGGCCTCGTCGTAAAAACGTTTCCACAGTATGAATTTCTAGGCGAAATTCCCACAAGTAAATTGTGGCTGAAATTGTGTGAAATTAACGTACAAATCTATCGACATATTGGTTGCTGTTAATTCAACACCCATGTAATTTACGAACTGTAAAAATTCTGTTGTTGCCATCTTGAAGCTTGTCTGTGAAATAATATGTAATTGCTTGTGCAGTTTATTAGTATTTTTTTTGTTTGTGACGCGTAATTGTCCTAATATGGTGTTAGTAATAATATAGTTTGTGGCGTTATTATCCTTATAGCGGCATTGTTATCCTTATATGGTCGTGGAATTTGACATTGACATTGAACATTGCATAATGGAATTTTAATTGTGTTTTTTCTAGATGATTTGGCAGTGTGTGACGGTTGTTATGTGCATTCTATTTTTGTTCTATATATTGTTTATATAGAACAAAAAGAAAACTCTGGAATTGTTATTTTTTTTATTGATAATAATTTGGACGATTGCTGTGAAGACTAACATGTATGTTTTTTAATTATTTTTCTAGTGGGATCACGATAAAATTTGTTGGTTGTTTAGCACGAGAGATGACAATATGTTGAATAACGTGTATACGCACGGATCAGAAATAGCTATTACGATTTTTCATCAAGACACGATGTATTGTGATGTATCGACGTACGTGTATATGGGTGGAAAATTATATACAGAAGATTCAATTCATATTGTGAAAGTAGAATTAACTTGTGATGATGTGGTGCATTATAAATTAAAACATATTAGTTTATGTGGTTTGCGATTTGGAAAATTATTTTCCTGTATGGGTCTAGAACCATATGATCATGATTTAATGGGGTTTATAATACACTATGTAACAAGTTATTTTAATGATTGTGAATACTCGAAAGAAAATGTTGAGAAACTGCAACAAGTGATTTTAAAGGATAACGAAACATACGGGGTATTAGTTTCACCACACGTTATAATGCAAATGTGTAAATCTTTTAGAATAATTTAAGTATTTATTAAATGTTTTTTAGATCTGGTGAATTGAAGCCCTATTTTAAAGAAGATAGTAAAATAATTGATTGCATAATTGTGACATACGATGCAAATGTATGGCCTTTTGTAAAATTTACAACACCTATTTACTTGTTCATAGAAGATAGCATATACGCTGTGAAACACTATGTGTATTTGGTGGAAATGAAAAATTTTTACGATTGGGTGCTTGGTGTTGTTAGTCCGGGTGAATTTGGATTATATGAAGTTTCCTTGACGTATTATGAAGATAAATGTATTACTTTGAAATTTGAATCCCGAGATAGATTAACACAATATATAGAGAAATATTTAAATATAGAATTGTGCGAAATATTAGACGGGGACATTAACACTTATGACATAGATAAAAAATACTTTATTCAGACTTATTAATATTGGAATTTCAAAAACAATTTATTGCAAGAAACAAATCAATGAAGAAACTTGGTGTGAACTATCTTTAATTATGAGTTGTAATTGTTGTGTATTTAAAAGTGTTCAAAATTGTCATTTGCGATTTCATAGTCCTTATAGAAATGTACAATGGGAGGAAAAGTTAATAAATGTTTTACATGTTGAAAATGATAAGAAAGTGTACGAGTGGTATAAATCTTTGTTTTTGCGTACGGCGAATTATTACGGTGTTTCGAAGCGCCGATTACTGTTTGGGGATCGTATACAAAAGCTTGCTGATTATTACATTTATTGTTATGATTATAATATAAGTTTTTTCTGGTGAACGCATAATCTATATCGGGGTGATTGATTGGTTGGCACGTATTTACGTTACAGCGGAAATAAGCTGTGCCGTGTAATAAGCTGTGCCGGAAATAAGCTGTGCCGTGTAATAAGCTGTGCCGGAAATAAGCTGTGCCGTGTAATAAGCTGTGCCGTGTAGAGGGTTAAAACTCGGGGAACGCAATATATCGAGTTGAAGAATGTACGCAATGTTATTGCGTTACGTAATGTTACTACATTGAAGGGTTTGTATGATTCCAATAGCGCAAAACCACCTATTTTACGTGTTTTGGATGAAGTTGTGTCGATTTTTATATACATGCATACAGATCACAAGGATAGAATACAACAAACTGTTTTGGATCGTGTAGGGGCGTGTTTATCGCTTAGATTGACACAGTTTTTAAAGTACGCAATATATCTACAAAGAACTGTGATATATTTTTGTCAAAGCAATTGTACATGCGGTGGTTTTTCGGATAAATGCCATTGTCCAACGCCATATTCGTGTTTGGAAGTATACGTGGACACTAGGAAATTGAGTAGTGATGAGGTGTTTTTTGGAACCCAAATGTCCGAAGGAAAAGGAACTTTATAGACTGATGTACTGCATGCGCCTAGCGCTGTATGGGTGCAAAATAATGTGTTACGATCGAGTGTATGATGATGTGGACAAATGTGTGTGTGATAGAGGAATCAAATCGTATAATAACTATTTTTACAAATTTAAAAGTTTAGATAAAAATATCTGTGCACTATTATTACTACTATATATTATTACTATAAAGTATGGTTATGCTGTGAACGATAAGGGTTTAATATATAAGCGGTCAGTGGGCTACAATATAGATTTTCAACATTGTGAACATGATGTTACAGTTTTTTTAGGGTTTAGAGAAGTATGTCGAAATTTATTAAGGTATATTATTTATAACAATGTGTACGTAGCTAAAGACATTGATGACAGTGCTGTTGAAAGGGTTGTATTGTTGATTGAAGTGCATCATAAAGTATTAGTTTCACCGCTTTTAATTTATAAAATGATTTATCTACAACAAATGAAACGTGTAATAGTGCAGATGAGTTTATTGTGTAGTAGTTGTAAAAACTCAACTATTTGTAGTTGTACTAATCGTGAAAAGTTAGAAAAGTGGGAATAGTATTAAAATTTTTTATTCTGTTGTATTGTGTTGAGATGGATGCGTTTTTTCAACTTCGACATTGTGAAATAAACGAGAAAGTATTGCGAAATGTTCGTAATGCTCGTAACACTCTAAAATTGCGTATAACACACATCATAGACTGCGAAGCTTACACGTACCGGAAAAAATTTTTTTACGCGAAGTTTCTGTATTGTGCAGATTAACAAATATTGTCACAACCTATCAGATTTACATTCCAAATGTCACATTGTTTGATGAGAATGATCGTGGGGTGCGCTACCAAATAAGGGTAATACACGGCTTACCCGTTGAAAGACGGCGTGTTGATGATAATTTTTATTTATATTGCGAAATGATTGATATGTTGCGTAAAATATTTGAAAATGCCGATTTGGTGGGTTACAAGGGCGGGGATATCGAGCGTGATTTGTTGAATATGCTGGGTGTACCGTGTATTAATATTGAAATTATGGGTTGTCCAAAATACGAACGCTTATTGTTGAAATATGACGTCAAACATGAAGATTGCGGATATCATATTGCAAAGGATAAATATCATTTGTAGCGGACACGAAGTGAAATTATTTTCACAATTTCTTGATAAAATATGAGTTATTGTGGAGTTCCATTACATTTACAAGCATTAAGTGAATTACTTGAAAATAACTATTTTGATCCCGTGTTATGGTCTTTATATTCAACATGTCGATATTTGTATCATAAGAAACCGCGAGATTTGGGAACGCGAGAAATTCGTATTCGAAATTACCGTAGCGCATATATTTATGAAATAAAGGGTGACAAGGGTCGTTCAAGCCAAATCTTTGCTGTGGTTAAAGCGTGATCTTAGTGGAACACGAGATTTGATGCTCTACGATAAAAATACACCCTTGTATTGTTTGGTCGGGCTAGATAGTAATCAACCCCAAGATGATGATGAGCCTCGAAGTGATAAAAAATTTTACATTCCTGCTGAATGGTCGCACTATGTCTATGTACGATTTGAAAACGGGTCGTGGGCTATGTATTTGGCGGTGACGAAATGTTGTTGTAGACAGATTTTGGTGCGGGGGACTGTAATGGTTGCTCGACGCGATATTTGTAAGGATATTATTGAACCGTTTTTTTTGAAACATGCGTAGTATTATCTATATATGGTTATGGTATGTAAGTGTCATATTACGTAGTGAATAAAGTCTAGAAAATTAAAATACATTTTATTTTTCTTAAAATATGTCGTCGCGTACATATTATTTTGAGTCTGTATCACCATTGTATCAACATGTAAAATGGGATAGTTTGACAAAACTATTGACAGAAATTGGGATGGTGTATTTTAAATATTTACAATACGGGCTAAAGTTGTGTGTGAAGATTGTGGGCATTGTTCAATTTGTTGATCGCGTAAATATACGAAAATTGCATACAGCGATGTTAAATGTGCAATTTCAGACATCGTATCTACAACATGTACAACTCCCTATGGTTTTACCGCATTTATGAATATGGTTGTTATGTTTGCATCATGATCTTCCTGAATCAGAAATTAAAGTGCGTGGCGAATTTGCATTGGGCGGGCAAAATCGTGATTTAGAAGATGATATAGCCCCCTATAAAGTGATGATAAAGGATTTTATGGCTACTAAAGATTATACACTCTGTGCACATTTAAAGGCTGGCCGTGAAATATGCGAGTATGCTGACGTGCTAGATAGATTACCCGTCGATGAGGTATAATATGTAGGGATAACAATTTTCTAGATCATTACTCACTATGCACTCATGAGGTGCATAGCGAATTTTTTATTGTGGCGTGGGGCCAAATTTAAAACTGTGTGGGTTTCTTAAAAAACCCAAAAAACCATCAATATTTATGTAATAATGTCAAAGTTATTATTTTTTATTTACAAACGTCCGAAATTTAAGCACACCTTATACGGATAATAACGAGGGATAGTCTGGAATAACGGGTGCGTGGCGGATTTCCTTATAGGGTAGAAATATGTGTAAATAGTGTATATATAAATAAAGCTGCACAAGACTGGTTTTGTATAATTGCATCGGTTTGAAAAACGTCAATTAAAACATTCGTGTGTGCAGATGAAGAGAGAGAAGGTATAAAAAAAAGGTACAATTTTTTCATATAAATTTATTGATAATATTGATAGATTGTTGGTAATTTATTAACAGGTTTTCTATGTGTTTGTAAATTGCCACCGCGTTGTAAATTTAGATATTTCTTTTTTTTGAAAGTTTGAAAATTGTTATGTCCTCCTTGTTGTTGTGTCTTCCTGAACCATACGCGATCGGTATCTTGTAGGTGTTTGACGGCTTTCTTTTTAACTACTTTCCTCTTGCCCGTAATGTATCGCCGTAGAAAAGCCTTTGGATTTAATAACATTTGTTGTAATTGTAATTGTTTTTTGCGTACACCATCTGTTCTTCTTTTAAGATTTGGCGTAGCGTTAAGATCGGGTAGCTTTGTGCGCACCATGGCTATGTTGAACTGATAAAATTATTAAAGTATTGCGAGTATTTATTGCCAATACTACCATACGATGTGAAGATTTCTTGATTTGGGCATATAGTTTTACTAGCTTTTAGACGAAATATAGTTCGACCTTTAATTTTTGCATTATTTTGAAACAGTGTTTTACGAGCGTCGTTAGCAAATCGTGGCGCACCATCTGTGGTATAATTTGAGTCAATACATTGTCCTCGACGGTTGCAAATTGCATATTTTGCTGTGACGTTATTTCCGTAATGTTGATCCAGTTGCTTTTTTGTTATTTGTCTTCCCGTGTATTTACCGATTGTCTTTCCTCGTGGAATTGCTTTTTTCCATGTGTATAGCCCTTTTCCTGCAGCAATAATTTTTGAGGGTTTAATACGTAAATTATTCTGTTTGGCAAGATGGATCGAACATTTTGGAGTATGTGCTGTACGGTTACGACACTGTTTATCCTTTAGAGTATTAGCAACACATTGTTGGGATTTTCGAATACTTTGATTATTTTTTATGACTCGTGGTTTTTCGTATATTTTGTTTAAAAAATTTTAAATAAATTTTTGTTTTTTCGACATTTAGAAGACAGTTACCACGCCAATATATCTCTTGATGTTGTTTTCAATATGATCAACTATTCTGTTTATTTTAGATTCCGCGTATGGTGTAATACCTTGTGATTGCTTAAGTGACGTCAAGCGAGTACGTATATCCAACGGCGACACGTAAACTATATGCCCGCCATCCTTGCACCAATCTAGGAATGCTTCGGGAAAAATATGATGTGAAAAAATCCGAGTTATTCTCTGAAACTTCATATGACGGTATGTATTTATCTTTGTTATTTTCACTATGATTATTTTTAAGATATATAGTAATGTGCGTTAAAGCATCGCTGTTCATTTTTATGCTGTGTCTTGTAAGCAAGTTGAAATGGGTATGGCTAAATTGTTTTCGGGTGGTGATAAACCCCTTATTAGAGTATGTTGTGTGTTTATAAATAGGAGTAATGATATGACCGTGGGCGAAGGCGGTATAGACAAAATAGACGGTGGTGAAAATATCGAAGACGACAAGTATAGAAGTTGTTGTTGTATACAATGGCGTCGGAAAGGAAACGCGATACCAATACCGGTGATGGTGATGGAGAACGAAAATACCGAAAGTTAAACAATGAAGATTTACAGGAAATCATAAATATGGTAAGAGCTAACAACAACAATAATAAAACGCGTATCCAAATCGCACCAAAGCGTATTGCTGATATCGCCAAAATGGCTCACGAAAATAACTTACAAACAAATAGGTCAAAACAATCGAGGGAAAAAAGAAATTACAATGTGGAAGATAGAGACATTCATGAAATAGCGCGTATTGTCGAACAGAATAGGAAAATGTTCGCATACCTCGAAACACGTTTCGTGTAGATCGAATACAAATGCATCGTTGTTTGGGGTACAACGAATATGTTTATAATGTTAGAATAGGCGCGGGCCATGTAACAACACTTCCAGAATTTTATGATAGTCTTCGCGAAATATTTAATTATTTAATTAATACCGCGAATTATATAGCTAGTTCGCCAACGGATAAAGTACTTTTTATATCTCTAATGCTCCGCGTACAGCATTTTCAACTGCAGTTTTAAACGTTTCTGATTTTAATGTTGATATGTTTTTTGATATTTTTGAAAAACATATGCAAAGCAATGCACAAGAAGTAATTGATGATGGATGGAATACAACAATTAGTTTGTATATATTTCCGAATAATTATGTGCCAAAAGCATCGCAGACAAAAAAAAAAGAAAAAAGCGGCCTTTACAAAGATGTGGGAAAAAATGGTTCGGATGTGGGTCGAGGTAGAAAAAATTGTGTGTCGCAAAAACATGGCCGTGAAATTCGAAATGGTGTTTTTCAAATTATTTCAAAATCCGATTGTTGTTTTGCTCTTGCAATATTGACGGGTTGCTCTTTTCTTAATAAAGACAAACGATACGATAAACTTAATTTTAATCGTAACACATCACTTGAAGACCTTTATACAGATGACGAAATTACAGACGTTTACGAACAAAGTGGTTTAAATAGAGGCGGTGTTCGCATTGATCAATTGTCCAGTGTTTACGAGGGTTTCCTAAGTGCACAAAATATTGATTTAGTTGCATTTTCCAAAAACAATAATGATAATATAGTATATGATTCGCGTATGAACAACACCGATACTATTTGTCAAGTAAATTCAAGAGTTATATTTTTATGGCTTAACAATGGTCATTACGATTTGATACTTTCACCACAAACATTTTCAAAATTAAATGCCGGAACATTTTGTTTTAGTTGTATGCATTATTTAAGAGGTTGGGAACATATTAACACGCACGTATGTCGAACATCTTTTTCATGTCTAAATTGTTATAGTAATAGTGTAAAATGTCCCGAGGAAGAGAGTTTTTTTATTCAATGCCCGTACTGTGCTGTAAATTTCAAAAATAGCAATTGTTATGCACAACATCTTACAAAGAGGATTTTTTTATGCACGTCTAAGGAAAAAGGGTATCGTGTGACACCGTGTAAGCAGATGTTTTTTTGTAAAACATGTTATAAGAAAGTTCCGCGTATGACTGTGATTGGGAATAAAACAACACGTCACGATTGTAATATGATGTATTGTAAACATTGTGATGCAATTAAAAAAAAAACACAAATGTTTTATGAAAGTTTGTAAAGTTGCTAAGAAACCTAATTTGCCGACACTTTATTTTTTTGATTTTGAAACACGTAAAGATAGTGAGGGTTATATGATTCCATTTTATGCGGTCATTCAAAAAGTGTCACTTATGTGATCAAAAGCCGTTTGTAAAAAATTACGAGCATTTTTTACCGCATCCTACTGATTCAATGTGTGACATATCGGTGGAACATGTGCCATGCTGTGGTTACAGGCAATATGTTTTGGAAAAACAAAATGATTGTATTACTAGGGAATTTATTGATTTCATGTATGCACAACCTAAGGATAGTGTTTGGATAGCACATAATGGGGGGCGTTTGACACTGTATTTTTACTTCGCGAATTATTAGTTGAAAGAAAAATTGTTCCTCAATGTATCATGAATGGAAATAAGATTATCGAAATTTAAAAGTGATTGATAGTTTTTTATATCTTATACAGCTATTTCAATTATAGTTTTAGATAAATTTAGCATAGCAGTAGCCTCGTGGGGATGCTTTTAGCGACAGCTGCAAATGCAAATGAAAATTTAGAATATGCAAATTTTGGTTGTTGGTGAAACAATTTGAATTGTCTCGTGTAGCATCACAATAAATAGATAAATTGCATCGGTTTCACAAGGCACGTTTCTGGTGTGTTAGGCTTGTTTCAAACGTCACGCCACTTGTGTGCCGAGCGTATTAAAAGCAATAAATGAGATGAAATGCCTTTGGTAACTGTTTATTTCGTAGTGTAAGCCCTCAGCTTTTCTAGGTTGTCAGCAACCCTATATAGTTCTTGCAGTGTCTTTTTCAATTTGAAACTTCACACTATCCTTGGATCCCCTAGTTTGCCATTTTTTGTAATCACAATGCAATTTTTTGTAATCACAGTGCAATTTTCTGTAATCACAGTGCAAAAATCTGTAACAAACTGATCTGATTGGTGGAAAAACATTGTGATGATTAATTAAATAAACCAATCAGTTTAAGGCGCATAAGCTGTCACAAAAGATGCTATAACAACATTTCTATTGGGCAAGGTTACCAACGATGCAATTTTTCGATGTGTTGTCCTCGCTACATCATCGCTTATAAAATCTAGCGATGTTACCTCAATACTATTATCATTCACTAATTCTAATAATTCATCAAAACGATCCAGAAACGACACCACGGTTGTATCTTCATTTTGTGCCAATTTACCCCACAACGAATTTAATAAAGCCTTCATTACAGTTCTTTGACCGGGGTTATGTGAAATTTTATCCGCATCTAATTTCACACCCTCATGCTTGAAGTATTCCGCAACGTATTCATTTAATTTTTCATTATTTACTTTACCCGCTGCATCGTAGCAATTTTTTGGCACCCCACTACTTTCTTGTTTTAATTTTATAAAGGTGTTGACATACGTGTCTCACAGTGTGCGTAATTGTATATTTCATAAACTTCCTTTACAATATACACGGGTTTTATAGCCGTTTGTATTTCAATACTGGTCCATGTGCCATATAAAACTCTTTCCTCCTTCTCCTCCTCCTCATGTGTACATGTATCACATAAAGTTCAGCGCATGTACGACACAATGGAAATGTTAACTTAATGTAATGTATAAAACGATTCGCTAAGAACCATATTAATCTTGTCTCTATCATAACAAGTTTTACAGCCATGAAAAAAACATCCATGAAATTGATAGATTGTATTCGTTTCCGGACAATACCCGTCCACATAATGCCCCATAATATTACTTTCGCCATTAGGGGATAGCTTACCATGCAATGTAGCCCCATCTAGATTATTCTCAAGCTCTCTTAACCAATATAAAGCAACAGTGCTCTGATTGACATTACCCCCATATCCCTGTGCGGGTATTTGCCCTATAGTGTCTTCGTTTAAAAAATTAGTGCGATATACTTTCAACGCTAAACCCGCTATTGTATGACAGGTCTTATCATAAAATGGAAATACATTCGTTATATCTTTTATTAGTCGCGCAAATACAATACATCCCTGCCTTAATATGTCAACATCCAACCGACAATAATAGTACATGGCTTCTTTAAAAACATACGTTTTCTCTTTTTGTTCATTATACCATGCGTCAAATTTTGGACGCTCTTTAGAACCCTCAGCCGGTGGGTCAAAATATTCCAACCCAACCATAGGTCCCACATAGTTTAAATCGTAAAAAAGATATGGATGAAACCCCTTACAAATATTTGGAATACCAAGAGCCTCTGGAAATTTTTGTAAAGCCATATTCAAAAATCAAATGGTGGTCTGGTTGTTGTTTGTTACTATCTTCAGGGCTTTCTTTAGCCAATGGTGACACATGTTTCCTTGTACGGAAGATGGGAATTACCATGTTGTCATCAAACATCTGACAATTTGCACAGGCTGATGCTGTTACAGCACTCCCAAGAAGCATCCTTCTGAAAGCATACTTCAGTTGGAGTGAATTTGGATTGTTGTTCCATCCACCTTTAGCTCTAATACATGAAAAGAGGAGCTCAATGTGGTCTTGGGAGTATTTGTACGTTAACACATGCCGAAAAGGATCTTCAGGTTGAGTAAGCATTCGCTTTACCATTTCAAGGGTAGATTTGATGGTGATAACAAATCCAAGGACAAATGTTCTTTGTGGATGCTTGACGATGGGTACTCCTTCAAGAGATTTAAAACTTAGCAAGTACTTCGCAGTTGACTGTAATGAAGCTTGCCATCCACTCATATCGGTTAACGTTTCTTCCCATGAGGATTACTTGAGTTCAGCAAGTCAAAAAGCCTGTCGATGATCCTGATAAATAAGCCTGTGGCTTTCGCTCTCTCGGAACTCTGGCAGTTTCAGAACAGTGTTCATGAAATCTATTGCATCTGCCACTGAACCACTAAGGGTCTGGGCTGCAAGAATGACATTCATCTTATGTTTTTTATATTGCACATGGTTGTTGGACAACTTGTTACCAGGCTTTAATCCCTCTTGTTCTTGAACCAAATGAAGGCTGTTAAAGAATTTCCATTCAATTTTCTCACCATCAGGTGTGCAAATCGTGCCAAGAAATGCCAGAGCATTTCTGGCCAACTTTAGCATATGGCATGCATCCGGAATGACAAATACGTCTTCACCTGTGACAGGATGTTTGAACTTCGTGGAAATGGATTCGTGTGAGTCACCAAAAGTACATCCAAGGATCTTGTAGGTAGTGATGTTTGTAGAGGTCCCGTCCGATGTCACACACCACACTTTCAGACCAGCAGCACTTGCCTTTGTTAATGCTGTGTTGATGAGGGATGATTGGGTGGCTGCAGAGGCTTTGTCTGTTAAAAAGTATCCAATGGGTTGCTTCCAATGGCTTCGTAATCCTACCAATAAGAATACAAGTGCTTCAGAGGCAGTGACTTCAGGTGCTTCCAAACTATGACCATAATCTACAAAACCACTGTATTTATTGTTGGCAGGCTCCATAGGACTTGTTTGCATATAGCCATTGCACCCAATACTAAACAGCAATCTTTCTTTTCAACATCCAACTTTGCTTCTTCCTCTAAAATGTGGAATGATTCACCGAGAAATCCGGGTTCACAGTTAATGTTGCTTGCCCACTTTCGAATTAAAGGTGGATGAGGGAGTGGAATGATTGACCGTACATATGTATATGCTTTCGGGGAATAAAAATCCAAAGTGAGAGCAAATTCTTTAATGGACTTAATATGTTCTTCAATACTGCTAACTTTACACTGTCAAATTTTTTGTGGAGCTCCTCTTCTAATGATTTGTTGATCAGTGATTTGTTCTTCAACTTGCAAATAATGTGTTTTATCAACTGAATTGTACTGTTTCTTCTTCGTAACTTCTGTTGCAATAGCTTGATTTTCTTATCTTTCTTCAAAATTTCTTTCTTCATTTTATCCAAACCTTCTCCATGGTCATTTGATCTTGTTTTTTTATGTGGTGGAATGAAAAAATTGACATGATGTGTACTGGTTAAATTTTGTTCATCAGATGATATTGTGGACTTTGGAATGGTAACAATGCTGTTGAATGCAATGTGATCACTTAGCTGGATAAAGGTGGAACTTGGACGCTATGGTGTTGATTTGCTGGGAATGGTAACGATGCTGTTGACTCATCAGTCTGGAATATGGTCACTTTGCTGGATAAAGGTGGAACTTGGACGCTATGGTGTTGATTTGCGGGGAATTGTAACAGTGCTGTTGACTCATCAGTCTGGAACACGGTCATTTCGCTGGATAAAGGTGGAACTTGGACACTATGGTGTTGATTTGCGGGAAATTGTAACAGTGCTGTTGCCTCATCAGTCTGGAACATGGTCACTTTGCTGGATAAAGGTGGAACTTGGACGTTATGGTGTTGATTTGCTGGGAATGGTAGCGTTACTGTTGACTCATCAGTCAGGAACACGGTCACTTCGCTGGATAAAGGTGGAACTTGAACAGTTAGATCTCGGGATGTCTTGTGGCTGCAGTTTGAGATCCATTGAAAACTGACGGAATCACATTGAATTTAAGCCATCTATTTGCATAATTTGTAAAATCAGTTGATTTTTATCCAAATTGAAAAAAAAAAATGAAACACATTCCTGTTAACCCATTGAGTGGCAGTACCCTCCCTCTGACAAGTAAAATTGCATGGCATTAGACAGAGTAAAATTGCATGGCATTAGACAGAGTAAAATAATAAAATAAAGTCCATCTGGGCGCATTAATTGCCACTAAAAGGGTTAAGTAAACATTTTTGAATAGTTGTTTGGAAAACAAACATTCTAAATGAGTTGACAATTTAAAATGATGGGAGTATTATCTCAAAAAAATCTTGATATATATGAGATAGCATTTTAGCAAATTCATGGATGGATATACCCCTGGCCAGGGGGGGGGAGGTGTGCAATTTTTCATGATAAAGCAAAAAAAAATAAAGACAAAATGAGATACACTAATTTGAGCAATAACGTGATGATAAGTGAACTGTGAACAACAATTACAATTCAAATACAGTATGTTGATGGGCAGGCAAGCTGCACACATGACCGACACAACTTAATTGGCACCAGAGCTGGCACAGCCCACACACACCCTTACCAGATCATGCTGGTTCCATCCTTGCTAAAATTTATTCCTCTCCCACAACTTCTTCTTTCCCTTCAGCACTTGACATAGTGCACCCCCAATTTTTGAAGCTCAGCAAATTTTTCTTTGCAGCACACAAGCCTGAAAATAATTTTTTGGGGCCTGCCTGTCAACATGACCAGCACCAATGCATGTGCATGTGCATGTGCCTGTCACGAAAAAAAGACATACCTGCCAGTCAAAAACATAGGATATAAATATGTAGTTGTTACATATATATGTTCAATGGTATTTAGAAATTTGCAGCTTTTGCAGAGCAGTTTTTGCTAACCTTGCATTTTAATTTTGTTGAAATAATATTTTGCTAATATATAGAAATAATTGCATAAGTTTCCTGTTAATTTGATATAATTTGCTTTTAACTCTTTTATCAACAAGCGACATTTTGAAGATTTTACAACTCAATTGTTTATAACATAAATATCTCAGCGCATATTCACCCCCTTTGAAACAGAGAATACCATTGAAACCCTAATAAAATAACCTTTTCAACAGGGGGTCGATTGCCGTCAAAGCATTACACAAACCGAAACAGTAGACACCTTAAAATTGACGTTCATTTTATTTACGCCTGACCTTTGTGATTAGTGGTTTCACGTTTGCCGTACTTGCAAATATGAAATTAAGATTGACGTTTTTCTTTGCGTTCAATTTTTTTCCGTCGAAACTATAGGATCCATTTGAATGGTGCCATCCTGTCAAAAAAAACACATGTCACTACCAATTCGTTAAAATGAATTGAAATATGAAACTATAAATGTAAGTAAGAAATATGCAAGTATGTTTAAACAGGGACTGTGAAAAGGTCATCAATGATTTTGAATTTGCTTTATCGTGAATGTTCAAATATAAATGTTTATTAATTAAAACGATTCAAAACACGATTTAAAATAAACAAATCTCAATTTAAGAAATCTATCATACCAAAATCGGCCACAAAATATTGAATTGACAATCGAAATTTTCATGTTTGTTTAACCCAAATAAATTAGAGAGTCGATTGGGCGCCATGTTGTCTACATATCAAATTTATACATGGTTCAGTTAAAAGCACTCAGAATATGAAAAATTTCCCGTTAAAAACAACTTTTATCCATCCAAATCAAAGATAAGATGTATATTTGTCTTAGGGACCACTCATTATTTATTGTACAGGGGGATTGGGGAGAAAATGGGGGGGGGGCTTCAAATTTTTTAAAACCTGAAAGGGGGGGCTTTGAAAAAATACAGAGAGATGGAAGAAGGGGGGCTTTGAAAAGATTTACCAGTTTGAAAAAACCATTAGTAGTAAGTTTAAAAAATGTATCACAAAACAACTTAATAACAAGTAACAATGTTTGTAGACCTTTAAAGAGGGGGATAAGTCCCTTCTGCGCGTGTGCCTGGCAATTGTTTACAGGGGACTCCGCCGGAAATAAACCTCTTGTTTCCAGTCCCATAATTGGCAATATACCCGCGTGATGTTTATATTCCACATGAGGTGATGAGGAGTGAATGTAAAATATTTCTATAGAATTCGAAAAGGTTTCAACAAATTTGCGACTTTTATGAAACCAAATCCACCTATTAGTAAATTATTGAAACATATAAAACAACAAGAGAACACAGAAAGAATATTATGCCAACAAAGCTGCCCTAAAAGTGCATTTGTGCGATATTCAGTGCAGCACGCTGTGATCAAATCGACATGTGCTGTTGTCTGCTACGATGTCTTTTATATTCAGGTAAATGTTTTGTTTATACTTGGGTTTTAACTGTTGTTAAATAGTAATTTTGGTCAGAAATTCTATGCTGGGATTCTATTGCATTGGATTTATATGCTGACTATGTATTTAATATTTATTTATCAGATCTGATCGAATATTCGTCCCCGGCAAAGAAAGTCAAGAGATTTGAAACCATAACTACAATTTACTGTTAATATTTTTACTGATGCTCAAGACGGGTTCATAACTTTATTTTTATTTCTACATTTATTTTACTATACACGGCGGGCAGGAAGTATCTTGAAAAGATACTTTGTCAGTACATGTGATCAGCAGTTTAGCAACCATAATATTCATTGCAAGATGAAGTACTTCCCATTGTAACTATAGAAACCAGTTCAATCATGGAGGTGAAATTAAGCGTGCAAGAAGTAATACACAACATTTTCGAAGATTATGACAGTCAAAACATGCAAAAAAATCACGAAAATCACTCAGAAGAACTTGGAAAAGAAGGACAATGTTTAGTAGAGCCTGGGATATCTCGCTTGCTGTATGGAAGAAGCATAAATGCTGGTGTAGTGTACAATCAGGAATCGCTATTATGGCTTGAAGCGATTTTTAGACGATTGGCTAGTCGTAGGGGTATTCGAAGGCCTCATTACTCTGAGATTAGACGCCATATACCCGTGGAAATGTTTATTGTCTTGACCCGAACACTGGAAAAGGCTCAAAGTCCTATGTTTAGTGAACCAAGGTGTTATATAGCAACAAACGCAAAGGGAATTGTTGTTTCTTTCACCTCACTCGAATCTGTGCAATTATTTCCCGCATTGCTAAGCAAAAGAGAAGTTCTCGGCTACCTAGGAAGAAAATTGTCCAGCAGACGAAAAGATTATATCACCAAATTGCTGGTATCCCCCACAAAGGATTTTGCACTAGCATACAGTTTTAAAAAGGGACTGTTAATAATTTCATTCTATTTTGGTGAGTGGAATGCCCATGGGTTTCCTCAACACAGCTGCGAACTGTAAGTGTTGTAGGTATTTTACTTTAGTATAAACTGATGAGGCTCATATTTAAAAACTTTTATTAAAATATTTGTTATTGTTAAAAATTAAAATACAATTGTGTGAATTTACTATTGTAGTCTAGGACCTGTATATGAGTTTGTTTGCGATTCATTTGGGACAGGTAATCTCAACTGTTTTAGGGTAAAATGACCATGGCGGTCAACATGGCATATGTGCGAAAACCTGAATCCGGGACGAAAGTCCTGAAAATGACCCTGCCCTGAAACAGCAGTGTCGACATAGCTCTAACTTCCAAAAAGGAAAAGCGATAGCCTTTCTGAAGTGCTTATAGTGTTTAGAAGCGTTGCTTTTAGGGGTGGTCATTGGAAGGAAAAATTTGTCGAAGTATAATATTTTACCAGAAAATGACTATGCACCACCCCAGGTAAATTGCTGATTATGCACAAAATAACTAATATGCCTGGCAGAAATTAAATATTCTTATTTCCTAAAAAAAATTATTATGGGGTGAAAAACTATGCTTAATTTAATATAAATATTGTTGATTTCATGAGGATTGTCATTGTTTTCTTTAAATATAATACATTTATTTCACTTACCCCCACGAAAACACAATTTCAGCCATATTTTGCCGTCTTGTTTGCTTTTTATCGCCGAATCTCGCAAATATCATCCAGTTATTGTACTTTTACATAATTATAAATGGCTGAAGAAGATTTCAAAGAAGGTTTCATCCACTTTTGTAACAGTGCAGTGTATTTTATCTTCGATATTGTGTCCTTCGATATTTCGTCAAATTGCCGCCATTTTAATGGCTCGCCGCTTCTCTGCCCGATAAATGCAACTTCTTCGTTTTCATATGTATTTAGATTACATTATCCAAGAGTACTTCCTTGTAGAATAGTACCAATCCAAAAATTGAAAATATTATTGGTACTTGGGAGGAAAAAACCTCCCATAATAGTTGTCCTGTTTGAATTCAAAAGAAATAATTTAAAAGTCACGCGCAAGTTCGCGAAAACACCTCGTGGGTTACATAACAGGGGGGAGTGAATATTTTCACGAAACGTTTGTTCGCCACCACAGCAACCTAACTAAATGTATTATATTTTTGGTATTTTTATAATTGATACGCAAATATTTATTGCTTTTATCATAAATCACAAATATACAATAAATATAATGTACTTAGTTAGCTTGCTGTGGCCTGTGGTGGAGAACAAACGTTTCGTGAAAATATTCACTCCCCCCTGTTATGTAACCCACGAGGTGTTTTCGCGAACTTGCGCGTGACTTTTAAATTATTTCTTTTGAATTCAAACAGGACAACTATTATGGGAGGTTTTTTCCTCCCAAGTACCAATAATATTTTCAATTTTTGAATTGGTACTATTCTACAAGGAAGTACTCTTGGATAATGTAATGTAAATACATATGAAAACGAAGAAGTGGCATTTATCGGGCAGAGAAGCGGCGAGCCATTAAAATGGCGGCAATTTGACGAAATATCGAAGGACACAATATCGAAGATAAAATACACTGCACTGTTACAAAAGTGGATGAAACCTTCTTTGAAATCTTCTTCAGCCATTTATAATAATGTAAAAGTACAATAACTGGATGATATTTGCGAGATTCGGCGATAAAAAGCAAACAAGACGGCAAAATATGGCTGAAATCGTGTTTTCGTGGGGGGTAAGTGAAATAAAATGTATTATATTTAAAGAAAACAATGACAATCCTTATGAAATCAACAATATTTATATTAAATTAAGCATAGTTTTTCACCCCATAATAATTTTTTTAGGAAATAAGAATATTTAATTTCTGCCAGGCATATTAGTTATTTTGTGCATAATCAGCAATTTACCTGGGGTGGTGCATAGTCATTTTCTGGTAAAATATTATACTTAGACAAATTTTTCCTTCCAATGACCACCCCTAAAAGCAACCCTTATAAACACTATAAGTACTTCAGAAAGGCTATCGCTTTTCCTTTTTGGAAGTTAGAGCTATGTCGACACTGCCGTTTCAGGGTGGGGTCATTTTCAGGACTTTCGTCCCGGATTCAGGTTTTCGCACATATGCCATGTTGACCGCCATGGTCATTTTACCCTAAAACAGTTGAGATTACCTGTCCTAAGTGAATCGCATACAAACTCATATACAGGTCCTAAACTACTTGAAAATAACACTCTAAATAGTTAATTGTGTAAATGTTTTCAGGTTAAAAAATATTTATTTGTTACAACCTTTCGACTGCCAGTCTGCAGTCTTCGACGGGTAGATTAATAATGCGCTAGTGATATAAGATGTCATATGAAGTGAATAGTGCTATAGAATAGCGGTTTACAATTACATTTACTGACACAAAAGCCAATCACTGACAGTAGCAGATTGGTGACTAATTATATATTGTGCAGAATTTAAAGTTTTTTAAGCAAAAAGCGGCATTGTTCTGGCAAATCAGCAAATGTTTTGAGTTGTTATCGGCATCTTTCGTGCATGCACTGTCCCAAGACTCTAATGTCAATCTATGTCGATAGGTTGCCCTTGTCAATTACTTTTCTGTTTTAAAAATCAATTCTGTGGTCGTTTTCCCACGCATGGTTCGCTCGAACCATGCGTAGGCAAGAGACCACAGAATTGATTTTAAAAACGGAAAAGTAATTGACAAGAGCAATTATCGACATAGACAGTTGGTTCTATGATTTCGTAGCCTTTCTATTTTTAGTCAAAAGTAAATGTCTTGGAAATATAAATTAATTCATTTCAGATGGAAATAGACATATTTGTACTGAATAACTATTCCGTGGCCCAAAGTGGTTACTACAACAACCTCTATCACGTGAAATCACGCGATTTGACTGACGGTAGGACAGACTCTGGTGGTTGGGGAAGTGAAGCAACAAAGAGTGGGAGCTACATTCAAGCAACTTATGTTCGTCCAGTCTATGTCACGTCAGTCACGGTGGCTGGAGGTAACATACCATTATGGGGTGACCTCACGTCAGGATATGGGAAAATGGATTTGGAATATTCTTTCGAGGGAAAGACTTGGTTGAAGGTAAGGTCCAAATGAAATGCAATGCTGGAAATAAGTTGCACAAATGAAAACCAACGAGTGGTCTATATATATATATATATATATATATATATATATATATATATATATATATATATATATATATATATATTATATTAAGTAATGTATATTGCTTAAGACAAATTTGTTTCTATGTCTGCATTTCGATAAAAGTTCACTTCTTGAATTTAAAGAACAAAGTTCAGGGAGGTAGATTATAATGAATTTTTCATGTGTACAAAGACTGCAGCGTTTCGTTGTGTTGTTGTAGCTCTTGCATTGCTTAATAATACGCCAGTTTATGCAGTACTTGCCCTTTGACTCTTTAAGTTGCCAGATGTATTTGCTCAGCTCTGTCGCATTTCTATACTTGATTAATCTGAATGAGCTAGTGTGCAATAATATCTGGATTTGAACTCTCCTTCAGTATCTCCGACATACGATTCCTTTTGATTTGTATCGTTCCTAACAACCGTTGCTTGGTATACTACGCTGGATGTTAGACATTTACCAGGCAGTGGACATGAGGACTTCTGACGAACAAGCATTTGATCCAGCTTGTCCTCCATACCAAGATGCTTTACATAAGAGTGGTTACAACTACAAGTTAAAATACAATCCCCAGCATGCAAAGGCAAAACGCACTAGAAACAGAAACGTTATATGGTTTAATCCACCTTACAACTCTAATGTCAAAACGAATATCGGACACAAATTCCTCCAAACAATTGATGATTGCTTCCCTAAAAACAATCCTCTCCATAAAATATTTAACAGAAATACCTTGAAGCTGAGTTACAGTTGCATGTCCTCCAGGGTGCATTTTAAGTGGCCTATGCCGAAGATCTTCGGCGTGAGTTTGGCAAATTACAATACTATCTATAGTTAATATTGGCGTATCTTCGGCGTAGACTTTGCATGCAGGAATGCACCCTGGCATGCCCTAGCCTCCTCCGCAGGCATCGCCTTTCGATTATCGGGCAAAATTTCTTGCAGGCAAAAAAATTAATAGCGGCGATGCCCATAGGCGTACGGGACGGGGGGGCAGGGGTGGCAAGCTCTGCAAGCTCTGCAGTGGTGCCGCCAGCTCGATAATTGGGGGGGGGCGAATATTTATATATTTGTGTTCACAGAGCATAAAAACAATCGATTTCAAAAGAAGTTAATAATGCAGAACACATAAGATATGAATATTCACCCCCCAATGAATTATTGAGCTGGCGGCACTACTGAAGCAATGGTGCAGAGTTGTGTCAGTCATGTGAGCCACTCATCCATCAACATACTGTATTTGAATTGTAATTGTTCACAGTTTGCTTATCATCATGTTATTGCTCATGAAGTTACTGTATCTCATTTTGTCTCTATTATTTTTTGCTTTATCATGAAAAAAGCACCCCCTCCTGTCAGGGCTTGGAGGGTGCACCCCCCCCCCCTTTAGTAAATCTGCAACTTGCAATGTAATTTCTGATAAAAGTCAATGTGATTTAAAAATAAGTCAGTAAGTCACAGGGAAGTTTTGAGCATGGACCACAGTTTACACTACTTTTACTAATTTATCCCATTTTCATCCATTAAAAACATGTTATATTGTAAAGAAAGTGTCAGCAGAACAGAATGCTGGCCATGTTCAATTATGTCACCAATTATGTCATCTGGCAGGTTTATTAATATGACACGCTTGATCAATGTTGTCATTGACAATGGTTGCTTGTCCTTGCGTTGTAGCCTTGAAGCTGCTAATTGTACAATATAAACCTTGCTGTTCACACTTTCTAGGATGCAGCACCTTAGTCTCGATCTCAGACATGCAAAATAGCACCTAGTTTCTTGCATAGAAATCCTGACAATTCAACATATCTTCATTTGGATTAAAAAAAATTAAAAAATTATTATTATAATCATCTACCACGTT